AGGGAATGTGTATACGGGAGGGGACCATGCCCAACCTTGGGGCTGTATAGTGAGGGCTCAAGAAAGGCTTCTTGGAGAAATTAATTTCTAACCTAAGTAACGATGGAATCTTAAGGATCAACCAGGTGAAGAGTTATGGGAGGGAGGAAGGTTTGCATTTGAGGCAAAGGAAGAAACGATCAGAGGGGATCAGTAGGGAGGTAGTTTAGTTTGGTTGATTTATTTGTATCTTTCATCTGCATGGTATTTATTTTTATATAAGGTGAATTTTTCTTTAAAATAGTAATCAATTTTCTCAGCCTTATTAATTGTATAATTATTCCACTTTGAATTTATGATGCTTTTAAAAATGTGCTACGTCTAACCTTATTCTAGTCTTTTCTGTTTTGTTGCATTTCACTCTACACTAGCCCAAACTGTTCTCTAAAGCTCTTCCATATGTCTTGATGAGGTTACTTTTAGGTATTTCATAATTCCCTTATATTAAAAGTAAGGTATTTTTCCATTTCAATTAGCAAATTTGGGATTGTGCTAAAGTAGTATAATGCTGTTGGTTTCTGCATATTTATCACATATTCAGCTGTTTTCCTGAGCTTTTTTCCTATTTGATAATTTTTAATATTCTCCTGTATTTGCTAGATATTTAATTCCACCTACAACTAATATATTTGTCTTCTTTATAAGAATCATTCCTTTTATATGTTTACTGCCATTATGTCTGCTAGAACTTTCAGAATAATATAAAAAAGTAAATTGTTAAATGGATATTTTCCCCCCCTGACTGTAAGGGGATTCCTTTTATTGTCCTTTAATATTAAGTATGATGTTGAATGTTTTGAGATAGACACCCTTTGTCATGATAAGAATTATTTTCTGTTTATCACTTTTAAAGAATTATAAGAAATTATACAGATTGTTAATCAGATTGCTTTTTTAATAGCTGTATAGTAGATATCATGTAGGGCCTTCCCTGGTAGCTCAGATGGTAAAGAATCTGCCTGCAATGCAGGAGCCCTGGGTTGCATGCCTGGGTTGGGAATATCCCTTGGAGGAGGGGATGGCAACCCACTGCAGTATTCTTCCCTGGAGAATCCCCATGGACAGAGGAGCCTGGCGGGCTATAGTCCATGGGACTGCAAAGAATTAGATACGACTGAGCGACTAAGGACAGCACAGCACGTATATCATGTAGAGCAAATCTTCCTACCTCATTTTCCCCCAAATATTCTTAGCTATTATTGGTTCTTTACTTTCTTTTATTACTTTTATAAAATTCCATCAATTTGTACTGAAAACTGTTGCAAAATATTTATTGCATCAGGGTCTTTTCCACTGAACCAGTTCCTCCCATCAGTATCTTCATTTTTTGAATGTTGAGTTTTAAGCCAGCTTTTTCACTCTCCTCTTTCACTTTCATCAAGAGACTGTTTAGTTCCTCTTCGCTTTCTCCCATAAGGATGGTGTCATCCGCGTATCTGAGGTTATTGATATTTCACCCTGCAATCTTGATTCCAGCTTGTGCTTCATGCAGTCTAGTTTTTTGCATGATTATTTATTATTAACACATGTAAATAGTAAATCAATCTCTGTACTCTTGGAACTCATAAATGATAAACTCATGGAATAATAATTATATATCTATAATAAATCAATCTCTACACTCATGGAATTCATAGTCAAGTGTGGAATATGTATATAATAGATATTAAATCAGTTGTTACAAATATATAATTGCAAGTGTGCAAAGTGTTTGAAAAGGGTCTTATTTATTTGTAGTATTAATAAATTCTGTCATAAAAGTGACACGTTCACTTGGAGCTCTTCAGATGGGGGTGGCATATATGGGCCTCCTGTAGGTATTCCACTAACAATGGACCTACAGCAGCTTTCTGCAGAAGGCCCTTCCCTGAAAGTGATGTGAAGGCAAGATGGTAGCTGTTCTGATGATATATTTCTATAAATGTCAGCGGTTGGCCTAGAGCCATTGGTTTGGCTTCCATTCAGATCTCTAGCACAGATTATGTACAGTCTCCTAAATTTGGCTCTTATTCTGTACTGTATTGGTCAATATTAAGTAGCTGAAAAGGAAGAAGTCCTGAATTGTAGTGCTTGGCAATTTCTAAGGTGTAAATATGTCTACTGTAGTTGATTTCAGACTATCAATGTGAAGTCAACTGACTTACAGAATTCCTGAGATATTAACCATTGATCTCTCAAGACAGGGTCAAGATACCATGGGACCCTCTCCTTCTCCCAGGTCCTGTCCTCTGGTTTCTGCCCCATCCAACCTCCTCCACAGTCAGGCCCCTTCAATCTTCAATCTAGTCTGTTCCCTTAAGCTGGATCAACTGCCAGTCCTTTAACTTTCTTGCCAAGCATATGTGATGCTATAAACTGACAGCTGCTCTCCTCAGGCGAAGCATTTTGAGTGTGAACACCTTAATTTAGGAGTTACAACAAAACTTAATATTGTTTCTTTTCCATTTTCTTCTTGCCAAAACAGTCTGTTTCACCCTGAGGCAAGGAAGATGCTGCTGACTAACCAAGGGAAAGAGTCAGGAAGTCCAGACAACCACTAAAATTAATCTTTTTACAAGCTTGGCACGCTGTATTGCTTAGAGTCAATAGATACTTTTCATAAGTCCATTAATAGTATCAAGTCATTTTACTAGGATCTATTCATTGCTTAAGATGTGGTAAATGCCTGGAGTGAAGACTACTCTTCTTTTCTGGGAAAGAGGGAAGAAAACACGAGGAACATCCCCTGAACAGCCATGTGATCCTCTCACTCGGGCAAATGTCTGGGGCATTGTTGGCACGTCCTTTATGTCAGAAAACTGCTCGGTGGCTCTGTGTGTGTGTGTGTGTGTGTGTGTGCACACTGGGTGACTGTGAGGGCTTCCACCTCCGAGGCATGGGTAAGCAGGAGAGCTCAGCATAATGTTATCGAGAGAAGGTTCATGTTTGGAAGATGAAGCAGGAAGAGACTCCCAGAGGAGTCATGTCAGACTCCATCAACCCTACTCCTTTCATTCTCCCGTCTGCTAACTTTGGAGATAATAAAGATGAAGTATAGAGATGCCACAAGGAACTGGTCTCTGTCTTTTGATCAATGAAAGGTAGATCGACTGTCTTTACATCTAGAATTCTTTGGATTGGGGGCCATCTCATTCGTGACATAAACAGGATTTCTGAGGAAATCCTTTGTCCCCTTTTCTGAAGATGTTCTGGTTACTTCTGGCTGAATCTGTCAGTGCTGGATGAAAAGTTGGGAGTCTTATTTCTAATGTTCTTTTAACCCATGTGGGGCAGATCAAATTGAGCCCTTTGATGCTTAGGCTTTTTATTTTTCAAACAGTAGAGCCTATTTTTAGCGATGCCCCAGTCAGTATTTGTTTTAATTGTATCTTTTCTTTTTGATCCTTGATCCTTTCTGGTGGTAGGTTACTTCTCATGGATGTAATTCTGAAGATATTTATCCTCTTCTGCAGAAAGAGAAAATGGGATGATATGGGATAACTCAGATGCTTGCCCTACTTCAGGTCACATGGTTGTTCATCTGGAGAGACAATAAAAAAAAGTGTTAGATCTTAGCAGGACTCTCTGGAATAATCAGAGAATCCAGGTCAAAACCCACCCTCCTGATTTAGCAGGCCTCTTTTGTTATTGGTATTCTGCTTATTGATGATAGAAGACAGGATTGAGATGGTTGAGTTCCATCTTGGATGGTGTAAAGAAATGCTACACTCTTCCAAACAGTCCAGGTTAAACATTCTACCTAACTTTTGCGATAGCCTTTTCCTTCTTCAAATTACCTTGATACAAGACTTCTGGGCCTTTTTCACACACGCCCTGGATGGACATTTGTATATATTGCCTTGATGCTCAGCATTCCAAAGCATTAGTAGACAAGAGCAGATGCAAGGTAAATGCATTGGAAGGTAAATGAGTTAAATGCGTAGACAGCTTACATCATATCCCCCAAACAGTCAGTGGGTCTGAGAAGTAGTAAGGCAGCTCTTGAACTGGAGGCTAAAAAAAAAAAAATGTTGACTAAAAAAAACACACAACATAAGAGTTGCAAGTTAAGTTTTATCTGGGGGCAAAATGAGGATGATAGCCACGGAGCCTTTCAGATAGCTCTGAGAAGCTGCTCCAAAGAGGTAGGGGGGAAGGTCAGTATATATGTGATTTTGGTGGAAGGGGAGTATATGGAATTAAGAACATTATTTATTTTTTTGCAGAAAGTTTCTGCTAGTCACAAGGAGTAGTCATCACCATGAAAGATTTAAGGATTTTAGTGCTTTTCTAGACATAAAAAGATACAAAAATTTGGTTCATAAAATTGGCTCCTGGAAATGTCTAACTGTATGCAGACCTGTTCTGCCAGATTTCCTCAGAGCACAGAGCACTTCATTTCTGCTCTCTACTCTGAACTTCTTGCAGGGAATTTTGAAAATCAGCAGTAACAGCTGCACATGATTTAATCCTTGTAAATGTAGATGGCAGATGCCAATTTGTAATTCACAGGTTTGATAATTTTAAGTTTTCATTTACTGCTTTTTGGTAGGTACTTGAATGAAAAAAAATTTTTAAGTTGTTTATTAAATGTTTAATAATTTAAGCATATTTGAATACTCTTAAGGCAACACACACTTAATAAATGGCAACAATAGCTTTGTAGTCAACTGCATTAGCAGCATAGGGAGGTAGAAGTAAATTGAATGAAAACATTGACTTTATTGTGTGTGTTCCTCCCTCAGTTTTCATCATCTAGTTTAATTGGAACATTAACTATACTTTGGAGATTGTTAGAGTGCTTGTTTTTAAGAAGATTTTACATTAAAAGCTTATGTGGTATAAAGGGATTCTTAATTAGTTGAAATCTAGGATTGATATCTTATAATATTTGGAAATTTCTGAATCAAGTTTGAGGTCATATGTTTAAACTATTACTCATTTCTAAACAACTGAATTCTTATTCTTCTTTGTATTTTTAGGATTTGGAAACATCTCACCACGCACAGAAGGGGGGAAAATATTCTGTATCATCTATGCCTTACTGGGAATTCCCCTCTTTGGCTTTCTGTTGGCTGGAGTTGGAGATCAACTAGGGACCATATTTGGAAAAGGAATTGCAAAAGTGGAAGATACATTTATTGTGAGTATGATAGCCATTTAACTGCATATGTTAATTGTCTCATTTTTCAAAAATATTATAACTTTTCTGTTCACCTCACATATAGTTAGATGTAAGTTATTGGGTTTTCTATAACAATTTGCATGAATTTCTTTTTGCAAATAATTCACTGTATAGTTATTTTTATACTTCTCTGAATGAATATATTAATGAATGAGAAAAAGCAAAATATACAGAAGTAGAAATCTGACAGTCCTGGGCTTAAATTCCAGATGTATTGTATCCTAGCTATATTCACTTAAGCTAGTTATTTTACCTTTAAATCTCCATTTTGCCATTTATATGAATAACAGTACTGATGATGAGGCATTCCTCTGAGATTTAGAGATATTCTAAGTGAAATCTTAACATAGCTAGTAAACCTTAGCCCTTTGCTGAAGGATTGAATAATGCACAGCAAATATTATAAAGGGGATCTTATAACTTATTTTAATAATGTTGCTGATAGAAATTTAACTAAGGTATGTAATTTAGTAGGACCAAAAATAATATAATGAAGATGTTCATGGGCATATGCTATTCAGTAGAAAAAATAAATGAAAATGCTCTTAGAATTTTAAGTAAAAAATAGTAATAATACCATGGTGACAAGCTTTTATTCTTGAAAGTTATGAATGAAGAAAATAATTCTGTTAGAGAGTGAGATTATAGATGATTTGTTACTTCTGTCACTAATATTATGTTTTATTTTTTATTTGATAATGTTTTATCTTTTCACAAAAAGTTCAAGTATTTAACTATTGATGAAATAAGACCACTGAGTGTTAGATTTTCAATTGAAATTATAATTCCCATTTTAACATTAGATATATTTCATATGGGGACTTCCCTGGTGGCTCAGCAGTTTAAAGATAATGCCTGCAATGTAGGAACCGCAGGGGATATGGGTTCAATCCCTGGTTTGGGAAGATCCCCTGCAGGAGGGCAAGTAACCCACTTCAGTATTCTTGCTTGGAGAATGCCAGGGACAGAGCAGCCTGGCAGGCTATAGTCCATAGGGTTGCAAAGAGTCAGACACGACTAAAGCGACCTAGCATGCATGCATGCATGCACACATGTTTCATATTAAATTCAGAGGTGAAACAGTGTGGGTTCTCTGAGGGCAGCTCTAGCTTAGAGGTGTTGAAGACTTGTCGTTGTCTACATATCATGTCTTGTATATTTAGTTGTATAGCTTAAGGTCGTAGAATAGTGAAATGGCTTGTCTAGTTCACATGGGAATCAACTGTGGACTTTAAGTCTGCTAGTATTTTTCTTTAATCAATTGAACAATGATAGGAAAATGTGGTAGGAGAGGGGAAAAGTTTCCATGAAGTTAGTGATTTTATCAATTATCAACAGTGGATATTTATGCTTCAGTTTTCTCAGTTTTCATATATTTCTAGGTTGTCTTTGGCCCGAAATCAGTTGTTTGCTTGTAGAATAGAAACATTTCAAAAGTAGTTCAGGTAAACAAAGAATGATGTAAATCTGAAATTTTGTTCTCTGAGCAAATGTCATGTACTTTAGGAAGTATTTTACCTGTTGCAAAGCTATATAAAACTAAAGTAGCATCATTATTAGCATTGGTTGTTTTCAGTTATTCATATTATAGCTAATATATTTAAGTAAAGACAATTGAAAATTAATTATAAAAGAATAAAATGCCATTCTTATTTGCTAATTTGCTGATAACAGTGTGTATAGGTTATATGCATAAAATAGATAACTAATGAGAACCTACTGTATCGCTCTGGGAGCTCTCCTCAGAGCTCTATGGTGACCTAAATGGGAAGGAAATCTAAAAAAGAAGTGACGTGTGTGTGTGTGTGTGTGTGTGTGTGTGTGTAGCTGATTCACTTTGTTCTACAGTAGAAATGAACATAATGTTGTAAAGCAACTATACTCCAATAAAAAATAATTTAAACAGTATATATAGGTTAACTTTGCAGGTACATCAATTATCAATCTCAATCAATTTCTCTCTCTTAGCATCTCTCTCCCCCCGCCCCCTCTCTCTCCCTCTCTCATCCCTAGAAGTGGAATGTTAGTCAAACCAAGATACGAATCATCTCAACAATCATCTTTATTCTGTTCGGCTGTGTACTCTTCGTCGCTCTGCCTGCAATCATATTCAAGCACATAGAAGGCTGGAGTGCCCTGGACGCCATTTATTTTGTGGTTATCACCTTAACCACCATTGGCTTTGGTGACTACGTCGCAGGTAAGTTTTTGGAGATACACTGCTCTCCTAACCCTTCTGCTTTAGTTAAACTTTTTCTCTTGGGTTTGCAGACAACACAGTGACTCTCTTCATTTCCCAGGGCTGTCATAAGAAAGTACCACAAACTGGGTGCCTTTAAACAAAAGAAATTCATTCTGTTCTAGAAGTTCAAAATCAGAGTGCCAGTAGGGGCAGGGTCCCTCTGAGATTGGTAGAATCCTCCCTTGCTTCTCCCAGCTCCTGGAGGCGGAGAGCATCAGTCCCTGCTGGTCCTCTGGTGGTAGCTGCATCACTTCATCTCTGCTTTCGTCATCATATCATGTTCTCCCTGTGTCCCAGTTGCTGTGACTGAATTTCCCTCTTCTTATAAAGATACCAGTCACATCGGATTAAAAGCCCACTCTACTCCAGTATGAATTCATCATAACTAACTGTATCTGCCAAGAGCCTTATTTCCAAATAAACTCATGTTTCAAAGTGCCAGGGTCGGGACTTCAGCATGTATTTTTGGAAAACACAGTTTCATCCATAACAGTGACAGAGCCAAAAAAATTTAAAAAAGAGATCATTCCATGACAGTGAAGGTCAGCAAAAGGGTACAGTTGAATATTTATTTTTCATTCTATAAAAGAAATTTAAATTACTGTCTGTTCAGAGTGTTATAGTACCGCTCTAATTTCAGAAACCACTTATCTGCCTCATTTATTTTTTTAGTGGTACAAGAATTCAAGTTTAAATTATCTTTGCTCTTTTTACTAGGCCTTTCCATATCTTAGTTTTTCCTCCCAGTTTTCTGGAGAAATAACTGACATACATCTCTTGGTATGTTCAAGGGGTGACAGCAGGATGGTTTGATTTACATAGATCATGCAATGACGTGATCACCACAGTCAGTACAGCTAACATCCGTCCTTCTAATGCAGTCTGCCTTGGTGTCTGGGGTCCCAGGGTGCTTCAGCCCCACTCCCATGTCCTAGGATTCTCTCAGTGGTGTCTTGTCCTTGAATAGTTGCTAGTTTTTCTTCTTGTGAGCAGGGAGCGAAGCCAGGAACAAGCTAGTTACCATCTTGGTAATGTCACTCTCATATTTTAGTTTTAGAAACACCTCAAACTTTGGAAGATGTGCTGAGCTACTTAAAACCTTCTTTTCTCTAAGATATTTATCTCCTCTAATTTTCAGTTCTAACATCAGTGTTTTTAATCTTTTTAGCAATTTATCCATATTTTAAAATTCATGATTTTAAGACGTGTCTCCTTTTTCTATGTATGTTATTTCTGTTGCTGTTTGCTTTATTGTTTTATCTCTTAGATCTTACATCATTTCATTTCTCTTTTCCTATTATATTTTCTCATTATTGTTACTGTTCATGGGCTGCCCCAGTGGCTCAGTGGTGAGGAATCCACCTGCCAGTGGAGGAGACTTGGGAGACGTGGGTTTGATCCCTGGGTTGGGAAGATCCCCTGGAGGAGGAATGGCAACCCACTCCACTGTTCTTGCCTGGAGAATCCCATGGACAGAGGAGCCTGGCAGGCTACAGTCCATGGGGTCACAAAGAGTCAGACATGACTAGCACACACACACACATTATTGTTCTAACTCTAGTGTTAAATAAATTGTAGTAATAGTGGTAAAAGTAATGTAGTAATTCTGTCATGCATCATTTTGACCAGCTTCTAAAAAATCTAAATTTTTCTTAAAAAAAATAAGTTGAAGTGTTAAGAAAAACATGCTCATAATCATTATAGTAGGAATGTGCTAGTAAACTTCCCAGAATAGACTAAGTAGCCTAATTTAATTTTAGGAGGGTTTTATACTTTCGAGTTGTTTACTCTTCTTTTTTGACTCAAACTTCTTACTTAAATATTATCTGAAAAGAAAACATGTTGTGTAGCTTTATAAAAATTTCAGAGAAGGCATCTGTTTTTATTATTTGTTAATTAGTTTAACTTGGCAAAACCCTTCTTTCTGGGGAATGTATAATATCTTTGAAGACAGGGATGTTTCTACAAGCAAAGATTTGCTTTTGGTCAAAAACAGTACATTGACATCTCTGTGCTGGATGGGAAAGGATGGAGATCTTTTTGTATTCTGATTAGCAAAATGCAGAGAGAAGAATCTCAGACATTTGTAGGTCTATGTTGGATAACAAGCTTTTGTCCTAAAATAACCATTTTTCTACCTTTCATTAACATCACTGATATAGTTTGCTTAAGTAGAAGTGGAAAGAGCTTTAATGTAGCAGAAAGTGAGACATACGGATATCATGCAGAGTGAAGTGAGTCAGAAAGAGCAAAACAAATATCGTATATTAATGCATATATGTGGAATATAGAAAAATGGTAGAAGTGAACCTATTCGCAAGGCAAGAAAAGAGATGTGAACATAGGGAACGGGTGTGTGGACACAGGGTGGTGTGGGATGAATTGGGAGATTGGAATTGACATATGTGCAGTGCCATATGCAAAGCAGATAGCTCGTGGGAAGCTGCTAGATAGCACAGGGAGCTCAGCTCTGTGCTCTCTGCTGACCTAGATGAGTGGGGTGGGATGGGATGGGGAGGGGGTAGGAGGGAGGTCCAAGAGGGCGGGGAGATGTGTGTGTGTGTGTATGCATATAGCTGGTTCACTTCATTGTATAGCATAAGCTAACACAACATTGTAAAGCAACTGTACCCCAATTTAAAAATAAAATTATACTTGTGCTATGTTAATCTTAGGCTATTCTGCGTGTGTGCTGTCACTTCAGTTGTGTCCAGCTCTTTGAGACCCAATAGGCTGTAGCCCGCCAGGATCCTCTGTCCATGGGATTCTCCAGGCAAGAATACTGGAGAGGGTTGCTATGCCCTCTTGCAGGGGATCTTTTTCACCCAGGGATCAAACCCGCATCTCTTGCGTCTCCTGTTTTGGCAGGCAGATTTTTTACCACTAGTGCAACCTGGGAAGCCCAACCTGTTGTACCTTTTTGTAAATATAATTAGCAATTTTATTTAATTATAATTAAATTATGTGTAATATAATTAACCAGAGGTCTTATAGTAACTGTGGAATATATAGGTATTAGGTGATAAGTCTTCCATTTTCAAGCCAACAGCCTTGTATTGCACATGTTATTATATCCTATTTAATTTTTAGTGTTTTATGGTGATGCATAGTTATGTTTATTAATGTATTTATTTTTTAGCTTTATTGAGGTGCAATTGACAGATAAAATTGTAAGATATTTAAAGTGCACATCGTGGTGTTTTCATATACATATATTATACATTGTGAAAGAATCCAATTGATGAATACATTCTTCACCTCACTCTAGGCTTCCCCAGTGGGTCAGCAGGTAGAGAGTCTGTCTCAATGTAGGAGACCCAGGAGATGCAGGTTCGATCTCTGGGTCATGAAGATCCCCTGGAGAAGGAAATGGCAACCCACTCCAGTATCCTTGCTTGGAGAATCCCATGGATAGAGGAGGCTGGTGGGCCATAGTGCTAAGGATTGCAAAGAGTCCATCACAACTAAGCAACTAAGCATGCACATCTCATTTATTTATTTGTTTGTTTAGTGGGAACTTTTAAGTTCTTTTATCTTAGCAAATTTCAATGATATAATATGGTGCACATGTTATTTTAAATATGTGTCAGTCCAGTGTGAATGTCATAGTCTGAGACTCTAAAAAAACCAAAAATTATAAATAAAAATGTGGGTGGAATCCTAAAATAGTGTTATATTTGTGACCACAGCACAAACCAGCTTAGAAAAAAACAAGCAAATATTTTTACTTTATGGTTTTGTAGAAGATGAAAAAAGTTAGTTTTTAATTTCCCTTAGGAGACCAACACTCTGAAACTGGCTGGATTGTGTTAGTCTATTAGTAGCTGCTCTCAGCTGTCTGAAAACATCTTGTATATTAGTGGGAACCCTGAATACAGAATCATGGCCACAGTATTGGAGGGGAACAGGGGAACAGAATATTTGCATGGCATTAAAGCTGCATGCAGTCCATGGGGTCGCTGAGAGTCAGGCACGACTGAACGACTTCACTTTTGCTTTTCACTTTCATGCATTGGAGAAGGTAATGGTAATCCACTCCAGTGTTCTTGCCTGGAGAATCCCAGGGACAGGGGAGCCTGGTGGGCTGCCGACTATGGGGTCGCACAGAGTCGGACACGACTGAAGGGACTTAGCAGCAGCAGCAGCAGCAGCAGATATAGTCTAATAAACATTGTTATTATTACTAAGGTTTTATTTTATTATACTGCTTTGAACCCATTATTTTAATTTCATTTGTACTTTACAGAGAAATAGTGAAAAATGGTAGAAATACACTTTGCAAACAACTTGCAAAGGAATTTAATGTGTTCAAAGTGACAAATGCTGAGAAAATTAGAGAAGCAGAATGGACACTACTTTTGTTGACTGACCTCTGTCTCCTTAATTTACGTATTCTGTACCTATTTTGGTTTTTGTGAAACTGTAGAACCCTATTCCTAGTCCTGTAGTCTTTACATCCTAGATCTATGTGCCCGGGGAGCATTTTTGGATTGAAATGGTGGACAACGGGAAAGATGTGGAAAAGCTGCCTAGGAAATGTGTGCCCTTTGCGAGAGTCTTTGGAAAAAAAAATAATTGTGAGTTTTTTAAAGGATCTTGGAAAATAACTGCTATAGTGAAGTAGAATACATAAAAATAGCCTTTCCCTCTGGGTACCTTGTGACAAGTAAAATTAGCCACTAAGTTAAAGTGACGACCCCATCTGGGAAACATCAGCTGTTTACTTTTTAGAGCCTTCCCTCTTGCTCTTAGATGTCTCTACAGATAGGATTCTCACTTAATTTTGATATGTTTGCCAGGAAAAAGCAAGCAGCATTGCTCAAACTTGAACCTTCTCATCTTTCTATTAGACTGTAAATCTCCCAAGAAAACAGAGATGTACTTCTCTTAATAGACACCCGCTGTCTGATGCCTTTCTCAAGTCTGCAAATGCTGCTCCAAATAGGATTAGAATTCAA